AAATGGAAAGAGAAAATTAGAATGAACCCTGTAGTACTCAGTTGAAATTGGAGGTCATCAGTGTGAACCCATGGATTCTGATATATACGTCTACTGCTCACCCATCAACTATGTTGTCATTCAACATGTCACATGTACAGGAGTGAAAAATCTATTATCCACTTGTCAACTAATATCTACTTGCCAACTACCTGGCAGTAACAAATGCTGAGGTACGAGACAAGAGTAACACTGGTTGCGATGTTTCAGCTATGAGTCAACTTTGTTGGGCCATGATTCTCAGTGGTTTGGCAGTTATGTCCGGTGCAGTTATGTCCCAATGCAGTTATGCCCCGACGCAGTTATGTCACGATGTAGCTCTCCATTTTCTCATAGTGGTGACTTACACATAGCAGGAAAGTGCCAAGCAATTGTTTCCCTTCATGAAAATGTCCCTGCTTGTTCTTTGAGGGCAGCAAGGGCTGTCATAGGAAAATTTCACTCGTCCACCCCACTGCCCTAATCTTGACTATATAGATGTCTTTTTGTTCCTTAAATATAAGATTTAAAGGGGATACAATGACATCCTTTGAGGATGCCAAAATTGTGATTTTGATGTGACAGAAATAGAAAAGCACAGAATTCTTTCAGAAAGGATAAGCGAGATGGGACGAATGCCTTCAAAAGGGTATGGACCTAAATGGAGAATATGCTGAAAAACAATAGCTTCACATTTATACATTTTTACTGAATAAAAGTTCCTAAGACTGTATAGCAACAGTTATTCTTTTATCATTTTATTGGGAGCTCTTACAGATATGATAACATTCCATAGTTCAATCACATCAAGCAGTATTATAAATTTGCTACCACAGTCAGTTTAAAACAGTCTTTCTTCTTGAACTCCTTGATATTGGCTCCCCGTTATACCCTCCTTCCCCCTCCAAGAACCCTTATTTATTTATTTTTCCATATCTTACACCATCCAATATATCCATTCACATACAATTCTGTTGTTCACCCCCTTGAGTGGGGTTATACAGTCATCAGTGTATAATGATCATTCTTATTTAAGCTCATACACAGGGCCAGGAACCCCAGTGGCATAGTGGTGACAAGTCGAGCTGCTAACCGCAGAGTTAGCAGTTCAACACTAGCAGCCGCTCTGGGAGGAGTGCTTTCTATTACTGTAAAGAGTCTCGGAAACGCACAGGGGCAGTTCTACCCTGCCGCATGGGGTCACTGTGAGTCGACATCGACTCAGTGGCAATGAGTTTGGTTTTATCAATAGTGTCACTAGGTTAGAAGCAACCCAACAAAACAGAACAAAGGGACATAACATTGATTTCTTCTCTTTTTTTGAGATTGGACTTTTGAAGTTATTTATCATGTGAAACTTTGGCAGGATCAAAGCAACAGACAAGAAAAGAGAAGATAGATGAAACGACATTGATTTATTCCATGTTGCCTCATTTACTATAAAATAAACTATTAAGACAACTGGAAAACTCTATTGTGGTCTGATAATGAGATGGTGGTACTGCAACAATGTCAATTTCTTGATGTTGATAGATTGTTGTTATAAGGGAGACTTCTTATTTTAGGAAATACATAGTGGAGTATTTGGGGCAAATGAGGCAACAAATTAGTAACTTGCTGGTTTTGTTTGTGCTGAAGCTAGATAAAGCGTAACACTCACCAATTAAGCAACTTCCATATTCCCAATTCAATAGCATCAATTATTGTATACTGTACCACTCTCTTTCTATAGTGTTCTACCACTGTTATTCTTAAACTGCAAAAGACAACATATGCTTGACTGATGGGGTGGGGAATTGTAAAAGTTCTTCTTTTTTGATCATTTTATCAGGGGCTCGTACAACTCTCATCACAATCCATACAAACATCCATTGTGTCGAGCACATTTGTACATTTGTTGCCATCATCTTTCTCAAGACATTTGCTTTCCGCTTGAGCCCTTGGTATCAGCTCATTTTTCCGCCTCGCTCCCCGCTCCCCTCTCCCTCATGAACCCTTGATAATTTATAAATTATTATTATTTTGTTGTAAAAATTCTTTGTATACTTCTTAAAACTTTTCATAATAGCTTCAAGTTAAAAAATGTTTTCTTAAGTTTAAATAAGAAAATAATGATATGCCTTACTAAATTATCAGATAAATGCTGTGCTACATACCATCAAATTTACTACAGGTCCTAAAAAGCTTGCTTGACTTCAGGAGAACCATACGTGACTGTGATGGGATGGGCTCTTGCCTTAACCAACACATATGGTGCAGTCCTCTGAAGACACTGCAGTGACCTTCCAACGCTTCTAGACCAGATAGA